GAGAATTTCTTAAGAAATATCAGTGCAATTATTTTCCCGTCATTCGTGGCCCTGGGGATTATAATGTATCCTTCGGAACTCCAATAATGAATATAAGTGATGGTGCTCCGTTAGTATCAGATTTCTTCAATATTTCATGTTGGGATTCCAGAAACAAAAGTTATGAGAATATCCACGCTGGGATTCACGTGAATAATACGATAAGAGAACGACTTAGGGCAAACAAGCCTCCTGCCAACGGGCTGGGTCTGTCTATTGCCTTGCTTGGCTTTGATTCCATGTCTAGAATGTCATGGCTGCGTCGCATGCCTAGAACCAGAGAATTCTTGGTTAAAGAGTTAAAGGCTATAGAACTTGAAGGATATAATATTCTAGGGGACGGCACTCCTGCAGCTCTATTCCCTATTCTCACTGGGAAACTAGAACAGGAACTACCAGAGGCCAGAAGAAAATTTAAAGGCGCCAAACCAGTAGATGACTTTCCTTGGCTGTGGAGAAACTTTTCAAAATATGGCTACGTCACTTCCTGGGCAGATTCTCAAATCGCCATTGCTCCGTTTAACTACCGGTTACTGGGATTTGAACACTCCCCAGCGGATTACTTCATGCGTCCATTTTATCTGGCTGCCGATCCGTTGTATAAGACATTTTCACCTCACTGTCATGGATCGGAACCCAGGCATATGGTTTGGTTCAACTGGATCCGGGACATTTTCTACATGTACAAAGATGACCCCAAGTTTCTCGTTCATTTTTATACTGCTCTTAGCCACGATGATAACAATTTGATAACAATGGTGAGTGTTATTTCCACACTAGTATGTTATCTTTTCTATTTGCTGTTTTGGTTTATAGGATGTCACTTTAATTTCCATACATAGGAAAAAAATAGACGTGTTTTTTTTTTTTAACGAAAACCATTTGTATTCACATAATATTTTTTAAATTACTACCACTAATTGACGACACATTTCGATGTGTGATTTGCTGAGAAGGGGATCCTCGCTTTTGAAGACTAAAAGGTTCAATGTGCAGAGCCATGATATCTCTACTGACTAATTAAATAACTTGTGTAACTTACGACAACAGCGTTCCTTGACCTGTGGTCTGTGGAAAACTCCAGGTGGGCCGACACAAGTGTCTGCCTAATCGCGTAACGGGTAGGTAGTATTTTATTTCTATGTCTTCAGTCTGTAAGAATCCTTCTTTATCTTCTTCTTCTTCTTCTTCTTCTTCTTCTTCTTCTTCTTCTTCTTCTTCTTCTTCTTCTTCTTCTTCTTCTTCTTCTTCTTCTTCTTCTTCTTCTTCTTCTTCTTCTTCTTCTTCTTCTTCTTCTTCTTCTTCTTCGTCTTCTTCTTCTTCTTCTTCTTCTTCTTCTTCTTCTTCTTCTCTTCCATCTTATATCTCAATGAAGTATCTGGGGAAGATGTAACATTCGTTGATATTCTCTGTCAAGAGCACAATTAAGAGTGATGTTCATTTCTGTAATCTGTTCTTAATGCCATCAGTTCCAATTTTCCAAGGTCTTCCACTCGCTCTATACCCGTTGTACATCTGTTGTATCACTCGTTGTGGCAGATAGCACCAGGCCATTCTTATTAGGTGTACAAACTACTTCAGTTCTTGTTCTTTGATGACCTGTAAGACTGGCTTTATTCCTAGCATTCATCTGATTTCGTGATTTCGTATTCTGTCATTTCTTGAAACTCCTGCAACTCTTCTAAGGCATTTCATTTTCTATTGTCACAGTTTTACTTTCATTAATATGTAGGAATAAAACTTCAAAGATGAGAAACAAAAGATATCGCACTGACTAAAAAATTATATTTTTAGGATATCGGATTTAACTTAACAAAGAAAATGCTGCCAATGAGTATTTTTGTGGCTGTGTTTGGTTCGCTGATAGGTGGGCCGTGAAACCATTTACGCTGTTCTAGTGGGCTGCATGGGCAAACAGGTTGAGAAACACTGTTTTAGAACATGTGAAGACTTACAACCAGCAGCATGACGATGGAGGTGATGGCAGTGACGCAAGCGCTCGCCTGGCTTGAAACACAAAAATACACCCGCGTGTGTATACTCAGTGATTCAATGAGTATGATCCGGAGGGTTCAGGCAGGTTCAGTGCGAAGACACTGGCTTGAATCATTACAGAAGTCCACTGTGCGTGGAGTCACCTTTATCTTTATTCCTGGACACGCAGGCGTCGATGGAAATGAAAGAGCTGACAGGTTGACAGGATCCGCTATCACTACCGACGGTCAGCCTATGGATCATGCTGATCTTATCAATGCCCTCAGAGAAATGGGAAGGATAGAGGACTTTGGTGGCAGTGAATCCACATCACTCGCCAGAATGGCAGACTTGGGAATTAAGATCGGCACAGCAAAAAACGAGACGCACACCAGACACGCCAGAAGACGAGGATCTGAGCACCTATGGACATGTCCGGAGTGCAATGAGGATAACCCAACTAACTAACTAACTAACTAACTAATGT